GGTCTAAAGTGTTTAACACTCCATACAATTGCAAGTAATTCTTTTTCTGTTGTGCTATAGTTTGATTCCGCTTTGTTCAAGGTACGACTAGCATAAGCAATAGGTAAATCATCTGGTACTTTACCTTGAGAAAGTATGGACCCTATTGCAAAATTACTAGCATCCGTTGTTAAGACAAAGGGTTTGGTAAAATCTGGATACTGAAGTATTGGTTCTGAACAAAGTATTGATTTCAGGTTCTCAAATGACTGTTGTTGAATGCTTGTCCAATTAAATTCAACATTTTTCCTCAGCAGTTTTGTTAAAGGTTGTGTTAAAGCACTGAAATTTTTTATAAAGCGTCTATAATAACCAGTGAGACCCAAAAAGCTCTTAATATCTTTTTGTGTTCTGGGTATAGGAAAATCTGTAACAGCACATACCTTTTTTTCGTCCGGTTTGACACCAAATTCAGTTATTAAATGTCCTAAATACATTACTTCGCGACGAAAAAATTCGCACTTATCTGGTTGTATTTTTAAGTTGAATGTAGACAATTTTTCGAATACTTCTTTTAATCTTTTATTATGATTTTCTAATGTATCGGCATGAATGACTATATCGTCGAGATAGACAAAACATCTGTAATTTTGTATTCCTGAGAGGACAGTATTCATTAGCCTTTGAAAAATACTGGGAGCATTTTTTAATCCAAATGGCATTCGTGAATATTGATAATGTCCAGACGGAGTTGAGAAAGCAGTCTTTGGAGAATCCTCAGGATCCATTTTGATCTGGTGAAATCCTGATGTTAAATCTATTGTTGAAAAATATTTTGAATGACCCAATTGGTCTAATATATCGACTATATTCGGAAGTGGAAATGAATCTCCTATAGTAATATCATTTAGTCGTCGATAGTCTATAACAATTCGCCATTTCTTCTTTGCTGAAGCATCGGCCTTTTTTGGCACAACCCAAAGGGGCGAATTCCATGGCGAAGTTGATTCTTCGATAATACCTTGATCTAGCATACCTTTTATTTGAGTTTCGACTTCATGTTTGTGTACTTCAGGATACCTGTATGATTTAGTGCTAATAGGTACATTAGAATTTAAAGGAATTTTGCAAGTTATGGCATTTGTACTGGTAAGTTGATCTCCTTCCAGATAAAAGATATGATTGTACTCCTTGCAAATAGGAATTAAAGATGATTTTTCTTCACTATTTAAATGATCTGTTCTCAAGGCATTTTTTAATTTAGCAATTCTGTTAGAATTCGTATTATCTTTATAAGAAGACATTTTTCGTATATTTGCATTGTTTTGTAAATTTGGAATTTTTTCTATTGCTACTTGAATATCGTTTAATTCAACATCCGTTTCAGTAGTGTTTACGATTGAGGTTAAAAAGAAATCATTTTTTACTTTAACAACACTAGGACATAAAAATACACCTTTAAAGATTTCGCGTTCGGGACATAATCCTTCGCTTAATTCATTATTTATTACTTTAATTTGAACAATTGTTTCAGTTCTTGCGGATAGAATAGTTTTATTACTTCTTGAGTTAGAATTAGAGTTTTGATTTAGTATAAGATCGTCTGAACAGGATTTTTCTTCTGAACAGGATTTTGATTTATGATTTCGTGAAGAGTTACAAGTTTTATTTGTGCATATCTCAGTGGATTTTACACATTTTGGACTTGAATTTTCTTTGGATTTAGAGTTAGATTTAGATTGAATTGGATTGGATAGTAGTTCTTCACTACTTAAGGTTATTTGGATATCATTGGTTTCTAAATAAGAATGATCCTCTATGGATTTAGCATCATAAGGAAATATTTCATCGATATTAGAACTTGTCTCGATATTTTGATCTCTCAGAAATTCGTCATTGTCATTGTTTAATGGAGATTTTATATATTCAATTGGAATAGAACAATTTTTAAAGTTTAATTTATTTTCTTTATAATCAATTTGGCATTTATTTATTTCAAAAAAATCGCTACCTAATATACCGTCGAAATGAAGAGGAAAATCGTCTTCTACGACATAGAAAACATGAGTTTGGACAAAATCTTTTATCTTGAAATTTACGTTACAACTACATATAGTTTTATTTGGATTTAAGACATTTTTATCAATGCCTCGTAGAGTAATAGACTTAGAATAAATTTTTGGAATGTTTAGTATTTTTGAATATTTAATTAAAGAAATATCTGCGCCTGTATCGATTAGAAACTTGCAAGAGGATGGATTAGAATTATTTACTAAGGGTAAATCTACATAGGAAGTGACTGAGAAGTTGATGGTTGTGATACGGCCTGAACTGAACGAACTCCTCGAGAATCGACCGTTGGTTGTCGAGGATTCTGGAAGTTTAAAGAATTTGTTGGATTTTTGTTTTTATTGTTAAATTCGCGTTTTCTACATTCTTCTATAACGTGACCTGGTTTTTTGCAGTATCTGCAAAAACGTTGGGAAGTGTTGGTATTTTCTTTTCTTAAGTTTGGAGGAAAATCAGAATTGGAATTTGAATTTGAAGGTTTATAATTTTGATTTTGAGAATTTGACCTTTGAAGATTTGAATTAGGATATTTTGGGTTTTGAAAACTAGAATTTTGAAGATATCTAACATTTCTATCTGAATTGTTTTTATATCGACAGTTATTTGAGGAATGGTTGTTTCGTTTGCAAATATTACAGAATGGTTTGAAAATTTCTTGTCTTGATAACTGTTCTTGTTCTTCGGCAATTGCTATAGCAACAGCTCTTTCTAAGGAATCTGGATTTCGGGCTTTGATTAAAATAGAGAGGTCTTTGTTTAATCCTCTAATAAAGACATTTAGTGCTTGAGTTTTTAAGAGTTTAGTACATGCATTTCTTGCATCTGGAGATAAGTCTGGATCAAGTGTATTTATTAATTTTATATAGCAATTTTCAACTTTATTTGCAAATGACATTACATTTTCACTGGGCATCTGACGTAAGGAATGTAATTCCAATTGCCACTGACCTTCAGTTCGGCGTTCAGAATAAGCATCTAATAAGAAGTCTTTTAAATCTTTCCATTCGTCAAATGTTCTGTTTCTAGTTATGGCCCTAGCTTTATCGTTAATTTAGTTTCTATAATGGCTAATAAGATGGGTTTGGATTGCGGATTTACTAAATTGTATGCTTTATCACAATTGTCTATGAATTCGTATAATTTTGATTTTGTACCATCAAATCTAATGAGAAGTTTTTCAGCTATTTCAATTGATACTGACATTTTATTTGAATTAGAAGTAGAAGAATTTGAAAGAGAATTTGAGTCGGGAGAAGGTATTTGTTCGTCAAATAAGTTACTTATATCAGGATATAAAGTAGACATACGTTTACAAGATTTTTAAAATATGAGACAGAATTTAAGATAGAATGTACTTACAAGTAGAATATTGTTGTTGGTCGCATAGTCTATTATTCCACGGGTTCACCTCTACTTCCGATGGAACTACAATTGGGTTATGACTGGAACTGGATTTCGAACTGGATGTACTGGACCCCAATGTAATTAGTTGTAGTGGCGATTTTTCCACACTGACAGTTTTTTTTGAATGATTCCTCGAAGGAAACAAGTCAATTCAAAAATTCCTCAGCTCTCCTTCTATCAGCAATCAGAGGAACTCTGCTACTAATATCCCACGTTCTGACACCAAATTTTGTTATGGAATACTATGCGTTTATTTCTTCTCCGGACTAACTCTTTGTTTTGGAATTAAACAGAATATATTGACATGTATAAATTTATTATATTAGAGGATGAAAATTACACTGCCTGTTATTTCTTAAAACTATGAATTTATAAGTTCTGTTATCTACAATTATTTAACGATGTTTCTGGATGGATTTGAGTACAAGAGATTGGACTCAAATATTAATATTAAAATAGCAAATACGGATAGCTTATCGAACAAAGAAATAAGAGAAATAAATTATTATTATTCCATAGATACGAAGTATTAGGCGAATAAACTAGCGAAACTTATTTATTCTAAATAGGAAAATATTTATGAAGAGTATTGATTCTGATTTCTAACAGCAAATAATTATTAGTGATTATACATGAGAACTTTTCATAATTGTAAATAACATATACCAGGTGACTAAAAACTATATAGAAATACATAGATACTTTAATTATCTTACATGTGAGTAGGTAGGTACATTACACAATAATGATCAAAACAAAATATAAAGATCAAATTAAAGAGTGCCAGTACATATCTCAGAGAATACTTTTAGTAAAAATTAGGGCGAACAGCAAAATTATTAACATAATAGGGATATATGCACCAGAAGACTGAAAAACTGACAGCTATAAAGGAGAATTCTATGATGAGCTACAAACATTAGTGGAAAAGAAGTGAAGCAAAATGAATTACTTATATTATTGCGTGATTTCAATGCCAGAATAGGAGACGAAGTAATACGAGGAATAAAACAAAGGTTTAACGAAAGAGTATCAATGTAAACGGAAAGAGAATAGTGGAATTCTGCACATCAAATAACTAACACATTTTTTGATCATAAAATTCAACACAAATACACGTTTGAAAATACAAGAGGACATAGATCAATGATAGATTAACAGATATTGGATGTGAGAAGTTTGACGTCACCCAATTAGTTTCAAGGGACTGCCGGAGACTGAGGGCCTTGCGTCTTCATCGTTTCTCATTTTACGAGGGTTCATGGCCGTTTCTCTACCACTCTGGCCTGGCGGATTGGTAGATGGATGTTAGAATGGGTTAGGAAATTGCAGTATCACACATCGATTAAAAAGTATGGCTGCTCAGACTGTATTGCTTTCGATACACCTGATCACCCTGTATAGTGTAGACAAGGTGATGCAGAGCGTCTCACAAGCCTTCTTAGCCTGATACATCAAAAGGGCTGCCCCTTTTCCTACCCCAAAGCATTTTTCGTACTGGAGTAAAAACCAACAGATCGTTTATAACTACTTTTTTTTTATTTTAGACCCAAAAAGTTAAAACGCAGCCGTTTTGTGAAATCGGCTCCGCCTAAAAACTGGCATTCATACAATTCTCAGAGGTATGACAAAAGCCAATTTACATCACCTAGAGTAGCTAGAGTGGCCCACAATCAATTTGTAGACTATAAACAACCTAAAGTAGCTTCAAAAGTAGTGGTGCCAGAACATTCGGCATTTTCCCAAAACAGAACCTTGCCTCCCAGATTATTGAAACAAACATCACAAAACAGCCGATTACAAGTAACTTATGAACATGAGGTAAGTAAGTTTTTATCTTAATAATTAGTCTAGTATATATTTGTTATTTTAAAAGACTTGCCAATAGCTTCATTATTTAATGCGATCACAGCTCAATTGAAACGATAGCAATTTTTTTTAAACTTGTATTGTATTCCAGTTACTTGTTGGTTAATATTATTAGGACTTATAGACCTAACCTAGACTTAAGACCAGTGGTTTTAGTAAAGCGCTCAAGACCGTAAAAGAAACTGTTTAATACTCATATGTAAACGTAAATGTAAAAATATAAAGAAACTTAATTTTTTGTAATAATGAAATAAAAATAAATGTTGATATAAGGTTGAATGCTCGAATAAATGAACTTTGGTCAAATAAAAGGCAAATATCGAGCTCGGTTTAATTAATTTAATCTTACCCAAGTACTTTCGCTCCCTAGAGCATCTTCAGGGGCATCGGAAATAAGCCAAGAAACTTTTTTAACTGAAGAAATTAATTACCTTCGATAAAAACTCGGGAAGTTGATGGTTAATAAAAGTTTTTATGTGATTAATGTTTTAGACTTACTTCGTCAATTGTGGCCTATCTGACAAGAATAAAATTTTATAAACATAAAATAGTACATCACTCTACACTACACAAGGACAAACAAACACTTTAAAATTTTTTAAAAAATAGGCCAAGCTACATGAACAGAAGTCGGAGGAGACAGAATGGCTCCCGGTCTAACGGAAATGTTGAGGTGACATATGACAGCTTGGATGGGCAGTCACAATCATAGATATGTGATCTGCACATTTCAAAATTCTATGAAACTAAGCATTGACCAAAGGTCCAACTGAAACTACTATAGGAAGTCAAATGATGAAATATAAAATTGTATAGAATATTTTTAAGTAGATTGATTAATCCAGATCTCACACTCAAACCTGTCTAATAATTAGGGTGTTAGTTTGAGAGCAACTGAAGTCGACGTAAAGTATGAATGCAATGCCTTAGACGTTAGGATATAGTATGAAATGCTAGTCTACTGTACCATCTTTTTCTTGTCTCGATGCTGATTGTCTGTGTATATTTTTTCTGATTTATAACCAATATATTTCGAATTTTCGTCGGAGCAAAATATTTTTTACCCCGTCATTACTCAAATACCCTGTTGCCAAGTCCTTGTTATGATATTATTATGCTGTAATAGATTGATTCCTTTAAGACATTTAATTTTCACAGATTATGATATTTATATTGATGTCTTTAACTCTATGTTTATTTATTATTATTTTTTTATTTATACGCACAACAGGCCGTTAAGGCCTAGGCATTTTTTTTACAACATATCCTAATATTAACTAATTACAAATATTTTAAACATAACTTTAACTTAAATATGTATATACAACATTCTTAACTACTCTGAAGGACCTGGTGTACAATTATTCTCCATTCGCTTCTATTTTGTGCTTTTTTTTCAGTCCCTCACCTTCACGTGTTTAAGGTCTTCCTCCACTTTACTAATCCACCTCGTTCTGGGTCTACCTCTTCTTTTGGGACCAATTAATTTTCTGGTTATTACTAGTTTAGGCATTCTGTTTTGCTGCCATTCTTTCCACATGTCCCAACCAACTGATTCTTTGTGCCTTGACGAATATGGTAATGGTAGGTTCTTTGTATAAAGCCATTAATTCATTGTTGGTTCTTATCTCCCAACCATCTTCTGTCTTCCGTCCTCCAAATATGCGTCCCAATATTTTCTTTCCCACCTTTCCAGAGTATCCTCTTCCATGTCCATGTCTCACCGGTATATGTTACTGTGGGTCGAATTATTTTTTATATATTATGAGTTAACCTTGTCTAGAAACGTATTTTGAGTTCAGTAGGACTAGTAGAACTACCTAATTTTTTATTCCCTTTTGCTATTCTGGCTTCGAGCTCCCATTTCTCTTTTCCATTTTCATCGAAAACTACACCCAGGTATTCAAATTTCTCCATCCTTTTAAAACTATAGCTTTTACCACTTACAGACCTCACACTAAAGTTTTCTTTTTTCCCTTCTGTCCTTCCCATGATCATATATTTGGTTTTGTCTTCATTTAGTTCCAATCCGAATTTCTGTGCTTCTTGGATGATTTTCTTTACAACTCTTAATTACAAATCTTAATTATTTCTCGGTTTTTTGCTAGGATCGTTAGATCGTCAGCAAATACCAAGCACTGGTGCTCATTTTTCATGATCGTTTCTTCCACCTTCATGCTGCATTTTCTGATTACAGTTTCTAACACTAAGTTGAATAATGTAGTGGATAAAGGATACATTTTGACTCTTATCATATGCTTGTCTAAAATCCACAAACAAAACATGCAGGGGATCTTTACCTTCATAACAAGTCGTTTGCATTTCCTTTAATGAGAAGATTTGGTCTACAGTAGATCTGTCCTTTCTAAAGCCGGCCTGATATTCATGCAGGATTCTTTCCGTGTAGCAATTTAGTTTATTTCTCAATATTCTTGCCAAGTTTTTGTATACCGTATCTAGTAAGGCTATACCTCTGTAGTTGTCACACTTCAGTTTGTCTCCTTTTTTATGCAGAGGGCATATACGAGCCTCATACCACTCAGATGGCATTACTTTTTTTCCCATACTTGCACTAGTAGCTGATATATTTTTCTTTGTAGTTGTTCTCCACCAAACTTGATCATTTCTATGCATATGTCATTTTTACCAGGACTTTTGTTATTTTTCATTTCTTGTATTGCTGTCACCACTTCCTCCTCTCTAGGCTGCCTTTCAACTATCGCATCTTCTCCAACCGTCCAGTTGTCTACTGCTTCGTGGTCCACCTCACCATTTAATAATGCTTCAAAATGTTTTTTCCATTCCGTCATTATTTCTGCCGGATCGCTAATTAAATTTCCGGCTTTACCTTTCATATAACTATAGTGGTTTTGGTAACTTTTTCCCATCTTTTTAACTTCTTGATAGAACGACCTCACCTCTTTGTTTTTAAACTTCTCTTCTATCTCTTTTACTTTCAACTCATTGTGGTATCTCTTTTTCCTTTTACACAGAGCTTTCAATCTTCCTCGAATTATTCTATATTCTTGTTTTTTACACTTTCTATTATCTGTTAATTTTTTTTAACTCTGTTTAATATGTTCAAAATTTTAGGAGGTCTTTACAAAAAGCAATACGGCTTTTGTTGCGAACACGTTACGAGATGTGCGGATGAAGAATGAGGCTTTGGATGAGGAATACAACAATTCCGGTTCCAGTAGACGAAAAATGATCACCAAAAAGATGTCGGAAATCAATTTGGATAGGGATAGTGGAAATAGCAGTCCGATTAGCGATATTACACCTCCGATTAGCGATATTACACCTCCGATTAACGATATTACACCTCCGATTAGCGATATTACACCTCCGATTAACGATATTACACCTCCACCGGTTAATGTAAGTTGAACAAAATACCATAAATTTAAGTTTTTCTTTTACAGGAGTATAGTAGGAAAATATAAATTAGACATTTCAGCAGCAACAAAAACTAATTTTTATATAGCGATTAAATAATCACTAAATAAATTGATTTCGACTTTTATTTGACAAATGTTTTTAATATTTGTTTTATTGTTATCATTATATGTGTTCTATGATAACGAAATTATAAATAATATAATCATCAACAAATTCCCAAGAATAATATCTATTATTCATGTAGTTGAAATTAAAAACTGAGTGGCACTGACTGTCAAACTATGATTTATTTATTGTTTCATATCGTTTAATACGATCTTTGTCATGTCCGTTTTAAAGATTCCCAGATTAAAAGGCGATAAACTGCGATTCGATTATTTGGCGGCTTTGCAGGAAGTACGAAATATTTTACCTAATTAGGTTATGAACTTTAAAGTTTGCAGATCAAAACATTTGTCCGACAGTAGTGTCTCTTATCTCTACTCCTCCTCAATATCTACTTAAAAATATTTAAAAAATGTCTAGAAACTGCAACTCTCCCTCTATTTCTTCGTTTATGCCCTCCTCGCCAATAAGATTTAAAAGGGTGTCAATCTATATTTTATCATCTTTTATATTACTAAATTGTGTTTAAATTTCTTAAAATTTTCTGACAAGTTACCTTCAAGTCACCTTAACACATTCTTTACCGAATTATTTAATTTCCCATAACTGCGCCATGTCATATTGTTATAAAGTAATACTCTAATAGACTTTTGTATAGTTTGTATGTAAAATTATAAATTTCTGTCCTTTATTGGGCGGTACTGAATAAAAACACTTTTTATTCTTATTTCGACACTCAGATATCTGTCTGATATAATTGTTTCTTAAAGAAATTTCTCTGGTACTTTCCATTAGTGTCTGGCGTTTGTGTATAGTTTTGTACTTAAAATTATTGACTTCAAGAAATAATCGAAGTGTTGTTGCCGAACGTGAGGGAATGTTCTTTCGAACCAATTCACTTCAAAGGCTTTCAATAGTTGGAAAAATATTAGCCGCATACATTTTGTATAGTGTTCTGGTTATAGGTTTAATTAAGTGCAGTCATATTTGCCTAATCCTTTCTCCTCAGTCTAGAAGATGTTTCTCCTATAAACTTGTAGCAGGTTGCTTTGGGCAGTCTGGTTAAAAAACATGTTTCAGCATACATTTGACTTTATCAGAAAGAAATTGAAAATGTCGCTTACGTTTTACTACACAGCTTTGTAAATCTTCCAATTGATTAGAGGGTTCCACTGGCTCTTCAGCTGCAGAATTATTATCATACCAGACGCCACATTTTAAAAGTATCTTCGTAAAATGGTAACAGAAGTTTAAAAAGAACACTGACGAAGTAAATAACCAAACCCACATGAAGTTCACTATTTGAATTTAAATGAATGTTGTAGTAGTTATGGTTATACTAACAATATTCTTGTTTCGCAAAATCTGCTTTCGCTGGTTTAAAAATACAATATACTTACTTAATAAAACACTTAGACAACCATAACATATCTTAAATTGTTTACATAATTTACGTTAATTTATTATCTTGACTGTCTTCAAATCTAGAACTGTTCTGTATTTATATCTTTTCTCTGAACAGGAACTTTTAGAAATTTCCATTTAATGTACTAAAAACAACAGACCCTTCCGTAACTTTACGCAGATACCTGCTACTCGGATCTATAGAATACTGGTCGCTCCTCAGGAGTAGAGTAGAGTAAATTTATTTGCATAAATCTTTAAACATGATTGAGCAAATATCGTCACATTATTAATTACAAATTAAAAAAAAATATGTATATATATATTGACATCACACATATATTAACATTACAAATTAAATATGCTGATTAAGGAGAAGGATAGGCCAGGCACTCCGCCACAGTATAGGATGTCAACTAGGTGTTGAAAAACCTTTCTTTTAAAAGTTCTATAGTGTGTTTCCTGTTTAATGTCAGATGGTAGACTGTTATAAAAATTTAACACACGCATACAAAGGACTTCTCTCTGTTATAGACAATCTGTGAAGTGGCAAATTCAAGTTAAGGCTTCTTGTACTATATTCATGATTGGGAAGCAGGTGATAAAACAAAGAAAAATTTTTAAAAAGGAACATAATACATTCAAATATATAGATGGCTGAGAAAGTGAGTATATTGAGTGACTTGAATCGGCCTCTACACGATTCTCCCGCCTTTAGTCCTAAGATCACCCGACTGCCTTTTTTTTGGACTATAAAGACAGTTGAGCTATCTACTGCAGCACCCCAGAAGATTACTCCATATCGCATAACAGAATAAAAGTTTGCATAATATACTGATAGTAAAATCCCCTGGTCCAGATAGCTCTTTAACACTCTTAATGAGTAGCAGGCTCTATTCAGTTTTTTTTGTATTTTGTATTTGTTCCCCCCAATTCAGATTCTGGTCAATATGGATACCAAGAAATTTAACTGATCTAGCAGTTTCCGTGTTTTCTGATAGAAAATTAATTGTATCTGGAAACTGTTCTCGTGACTGGCTGGTTCTAAAGTGGACAAAAACTGTCTTATCAGTATTAAGCAACAACCGATTTCCACTGAACCACTGTTCAGCCTTGCTTAGAATTTGCTCTGCCACTGTGAGGAGTGTTTCTAAAGTCTTTTCCCAGAAAAGCACATTTGAGTCATCAGCGAAATTTACAAGGTTTGAGGAACAACTAACCACCGCATTTGGAAGGTCGTTTATGTAGACCAAAAAGAGAAAAGGCCCCAGAACACTCCCCTGTGGTATACCTAATTTTAAATTGATCGGTTCAGAATAAACCTTACATCCCCTTTTCTCCAGGCATACCTTTTGCGACCTATCTGTGAGAAATGATTTTATCCATTTTAATGCTGGTCCCTGTATTCCATAAAGATGTAATTTTTTGTAATAAGAGAACATGATCTAGGCTATCAAAAGCCTTAGATAGGTCCAAAAAAGCACCCAGTGTTTTCATCTTTGCCTCCAGTTTTTCTAAAATTTTTGATATAAAATCATAGGTAGCTGTCTCAACAGATCTCCCTGCGAGAAAACCATGCTGTGAACTACTAAATAAGTTGTTTGTAGTAAAAAAGTTTTGTAGTCTGAAATATATTGCTTTTTCAAATATTTTTGAGAATGATGGAAGAAGGCTTATTGGTCTATAGTTCTCCATCTTAGTAACATCACCTTTTTTATGAAGTGGCTTGACAATTGCCAGTTTTAAATTTTTAGGAAATTTACCTTGCCTGAAAGAAGCATTAACTATAAAAGAAAGAGGAAGAGAAATCTCTGATGAAACATATTTTATTAAGTTGGTTGATATTTCATCATAACCAGAGCTATGCTTGTTTTTTATGTTATTTATTATATGACTTATTTCTTTCTCTGAAACTGGAGTTAAAAACATGCAATGATTAGTTTGTTCAATATTAATTTGAAAATTTTTTACATGCTTTATTTTCTTTACAGCTTCTGGCGCTGCATTTGCCATAAATTGATTTATTTCGTTAGAAAGCACTTGAGGGTCACCCTCCAAACAGAAATTACCTTGATTTTTGGAATTACCCTTAATCTCTTTTACCAATTGCCAAGCCATTTTAGTTTTATTTTCGCTATTTTCAATTCGTTTTTTATAACAATTTTTCCGAGATTGAGTGAGTAAAGAATTGTATTTGCGTTTTTCTGTCCTATAAATATCTTTATAATCAACATTATTGGTAGACAGTGTAAACAAAACATCAAGCCTAGATTTACAATGTTTTATATCATCATTTTTAAAGTACTTTTGTGATTTTTTTTATTTACTGTATTAATCTCTTTGAGTGGAAAACATTCTATAAAAAATTTCTGAACTATACTCATAAAAGCATCCCACTGATTATCTACTTCTAATGTCTCAAAAACAGATACCCAGTCTACATTACCTAACATGAATTTAAATAAACTTTTATTCTCATTGCTAAATATTCGTTTTTTTATTATATTTGACTCAAATTCATTTAATTCAAATTTTACCTTTTGAGCAGTATGATCAGATGTATGAGGATTGAATACAAGGGAATCAAATATATCAAGATTTGTAAAAATATTATCTATACAGGATTTTTTGTTACCTTGTATGCGTGTATAGTCTTTGATGGAAGGTTTTATATCAAAGGAGCTCAAAAACATTTTTAATGCGTCTGGCCACCTTGCACCCTCAAGCAGCATATCTAAGTTAAAATCACCAGCCAAAAAAATTATGGAGTCCTTGTCAACTAAATCACAAAGTATTTGGTCTAATTTATTCATTAAAACTTGTGGGTCTTCTGTTCGGTAGATGGATAGGATTACAATCTTCTTCTTATTAATTCGCACCTCTGCAGCGGAACACTCAAACACAGTTCTTTCTGATAAACTAGAAATATCTTCCCGGGCTTTTGCAATAAACGTGTCTTTGATGTATACCGCACTGCCACCATGCTCCTGTGAACTGTTTCTGCAATATGAAGAGATCAGTTTAAAATTCCGCACATTGTAGTCCCGCAGTTGTTCTTCTGTTTTCCAGTGCTCAGTTAAACAAAGAGCAAAGCATTCATCATGATCTTCTAGGATAAAATTAATGGCATCAATACTTGTTTTAATTGATTGCGTGTTTAAGTGGATTACTGATAATTTCTTTTGGTGTGTGCCGTAGACTGTCTTTTGACACTGGGTTGCCTCTGTACATTCTGAAAATGGTTAAAAATTATACCATTCGGCCATAATTCTTGCTGCATTAAATCAGGTATTTTTAGTTCTGGAACAGTAATTTTAAATGAACTTTTGTACTTATCTGTCCTGGTTTTCATTTTTTCGCAGATAACATTTTCATCCAGTTTTCTTTCTTTTAGATAGTTAAGTATTTCCTGAGCCTCCGTTTTTGGATCGAAACCTGACAGGAAAATCGCCATATGTTTTGTGGCTACACGCAGGATACTTCCAGCATTCTCATTGGTTCCCTGGAGTGGATCTGGTCGTTCAATAAGTGTTGGACGGGGTGTTTTGTAAAAACCTCTTTTTTTTGGGTTTCCCATTTATTATTTTCATCTTCAATCAGTGGATGGTTTGTATCTTTAACAGGCGTCACGGGTGCAATTGAACTGCTTGATATTCTTGGTTTAGGTGGCAGCTCAGACAAATCAGAACAAAGTGGCTGTTCTGTGACTACTTTAACTGGCCTTGTAGTCTCTTTCAAATCATTTTGTTCTTTTAAAACCAATGGATTGTTATTGATATTTTCAGTTTTTGCAACATTTTTTACCTCCATGGAATTTTTTGTTAACTTTTTCTCTATGCTTTCTATTTTTTCCCATAGCAGCTTATTATTTTCCTCTAGGATTTGATTTTTACTTCTTAATTCACAAATTAGTTCATTTAGCAGATGAATGATTGTATTTTCCATGCCATCTCCACTTTTTAAGTTTATATTAGAATCACAACAAATCACACGCGTTTCATCTAAAATTTGAAGTTTTCCGGCCCAATCCCGTGCCGTGCATGATTTATGGAAGGCTTTTCCACACTTCACACATATTATTGTGCTTATTTTTTTAGTTTTGCAACAAGTAAACTTGGTTTTTTCGCTCTCACTCTCGCGATCATCCTTATCGGACGCCATCTTTTTATTAGTGTGAGGAATTTCATCCTCTCCTAATGGTTTTCTATTTTTTAATTTCTTTAATGCTTCCTTTACCTCTCCTTCCTCAATGTTTGTTTCTTTGTGTGTCGTCACTTTTGTTGTTGGTACTTCATTATCGCAAAAAAATAATTTAGGATCTGTTATTTTAATTACACTACATACAATACATAATATTTAATGAAGTTAATGTTTATTTCAGGTTCCAGAATTTGTCCTTACGAACGATCCAAAAGTGGATTTGACAAATTTTGTAGAATTTTATAAACTGGGTAAAATTGAGGTTAGCACGAAATGTGTGAGTACCAAGAGGCTCAATATCTATACTTGTAGGATTACGGTAAGTGCTTATAACAAACAGTTTAATTTAGATTGCTCGTTTTTGAAGCGAAGCCTCCATTAATCATGAGTTCGGCTATTGTAGTTAAGTGCGATAAAGAGATATTAATAAAGTTAACTTTTTGGTACTGAAAAATCATATATGTCACCTTGCTGGACCCTAGTTACAAGAAAAGGTTCCTTCTTCTGAAACTTCTTCAAAATATCCTTCCAATGACTGGACGAATAGACCATTTCAGTTTTTCTTCATATAATTTTCGATAACAGAAAAGTCTCTCTTGCTTGGCAAAATTGTGTGACCTACCTGAGGAAATATATAAACTATTTAAAATATTCATTTTGTAAAAGGTAAAGCCAAAGACCGACCAATGATGATTCAAGTTTTATTTTTGTCCGCAGCAATTAACTGAAATGGCTATTCGAATAGATGGACAACTTACAGAACCTATAGAAATAGGCAGCGGAATAAGACAAGAGGATTCATTGAGCCTCATGCTCCTCAATTGAATCATGGATGAAACCATCAAAATCGTTAACAAAGGAAGAGGATATAGAATGAGAAACAAAGAAATAAAAAGATTCTGTTACGCAGACGACGCAATTTTGATAGTCCAAGATGAAGATAGTCTGCAAAGACTGGTCCACAAATTTAACATAAGACACATAAGAGTAAAATTATTTAATATGACTATCTCATCTCAGAAAACTACAACAATAATAATCAGCAAATAACTAACCAGATGTAAAATAGAAATTGATGGCATCAGTACTGAACAAGTATTGGAAATAAAACACCAGATAATTACACACTGTCTAGCTATGGAGACCTGGACAGAGAAATGAGAGATCAAACACAAAAAGTACTGTATATATATTTTTCATATTTTGGTAGTCGATTTGAAATTTCCGTTTTTATTTATTGTTGTCAGTTTAATTCACACATTTGGCGTACGTTTTAGATCGGCAACTATAAGGTGACCAGCTATCCGGAAGAATTTCCTACCCGTGAAGCTGCCGAGTTGTATTGTTATAAACAAGCCTTGGAAGAATTGACTCCTAAATACGTAAAGAGCAAAAGTTTATTTTTAGCCAACGATAACGACATTTTGAAACGAATTCCCGATATGCTCAAAAAACACAATAGTGGTAAGTATAAAGTTTCTTTCAATTTAATTCCAGGAGAAGAATTTAATAATTGGTATCGATAATCTTTTGATTACAGTTAACATGGAATCATGTTTTGAGTAGTTTTCGTTTATTGACAACAATATGCTATAGATATATTCTGCCCTACTAGGAAAAAAGACCTTAAGTCCAAAAAAAAATAAAAATTGAGTTAAGGTCATATTAGGGTTTTATAGGTGGTTTTCTACCTATTTTTGAGGTTAGAAAGCGGTAGCTCCACTTCATCAATGAGAAAAACGCTAATGAAATATGCCTTATGTCCTAAATTGTCTGCCATTCTAGTGAAGAAAACCTCAACTGCAACTTTTGAATAAAGAAAGCCTCAAGTACAGTCGTTTTTGACTTAAGGTTTTTTTACTTCAAATTTTTATTATTGCAAGAGAAATTGGAACCACGCCTTAACTTACATCAGATAAAAGAAAGCCTTATATCCACTTGCCAGTGGAGTTAAGGTTTTCTTTTCTCTGATAAGTTTCTTTACAAGTGGCTTTTGATGCTGTTTTTCACTAAAACTAACAGGTGTTTCTTATGCTCAGCTGTTTCCTTCCATTTAGGTATATTGACAGTGATTACTTAGTTACTAACCTCAATTCAAGAAGAGTGTTTTGTTATGGTGTCGTGGGTTGTATGAAAGTTTTACGCTTTTTTTTTGTAACTTGTGACATCAATTAATTTACAACCTGACATTGGACATGTCGTCGGGCTAGTACTTGTTTGTTCCATATGCCAAATTCTCATTTTGAGATATTTACATTTAACTATTTTGGTAGTATTTACTCGTTTATTTTAAAACTCAGGAAAATTATGTTAATTCTAAAATAAAATATTTAAAATGGTGTGCTGGATTATGACTTTAAATTTTTACTGACTCTTCTTAAATTTGAGAAAAAAAAATAAAAACCTTTGCTTATGGAACAAAAAGTAAAACTAGTACAGGAATTTGCACATTTGTTCCATATGCAATGAAGTACAAAACTGAATTATATAATAACATTTTAAGTAAACTAGTTTAGTTTGCGTTTATATATATCTTATGTATCATTCTACAGTTAGATCACAGTTTATTACAATATTTCTGATCTTATATTACTGAACCTTTGAAAAAATACAAGGGTACTGCAAAAAGAAAACTGCTTTTTGTTTTCAAAATTTATTAAGAATTAAAACATATTTATGTGAAACAAAAAGTAAAACATTCTTCGCCGTAGGTACACGTCATGTAACTGAAATAAATGAATAATATTGTAATTAAAAGAATGAACCTTATATTACTGCACCTTTTTTTATACAAGGATACATCAAAAAGGAAACTCCTTGTTGCTTTTAAAATTTATTAATAATCAAAATGTGTGTATGTGAAACAAACAGTAAATAAATGTTAAATATTCTTCGCAGTAGAAAAACTAGAACTACTATTCTTCCTACTTATAACGTAATTGAAACAAATACTTGCAGTTAGAAGAAATAAAATTATTTATTTGGTGAAGAAAATATTGTTCTGTACATTTTACTAACGTCACTTAGATCTAAATACAATCTACCTACGAAAAACACGATCTGATCGACAGTAATCAGACTCTATACGGGGGAACGACTCAATATGTTTCCGTGCCCCATCTAGAGCTTATAATGGTAAGACTTTCTTTACGTATTTTCCTTTCAAAGGGGTCTAAGCAATCCCTGAGTAATCCTTATAGTGTTTTTTAAAGAAATAATAAATTCTCTGTTTACTAATGTTTAGAGTAGTTAAAAAAAATTCCCTACATACTCTGATTTGCTTATTTAAAACCTCAAGGTTATATATATTAAAATGAATTTTGTTTCTGGCAGTCCGAAATATTTTCTGATTTCACATACCTTCGTTTTGGTGAACTTTTTTTACAAATTTTGAATAAAATGCGCCTTTTTTGCTACACTTAGCTGCCAAAAGTTTTTAAATATAACTTCCCTTTCGTGCGTATTAATTTTTTTAATACATTGATAGGTACAAGATTTCACACACTTGTATTGACATTGCCTTGGAGCATGGACATTGGACAACTCCTTTTTCGTCCTTATATTGAAGCTTCTGTTCTTGCTGAACTTTTTTCACATTTCTAGTCCAGTTCGAAGGATTTCTCAATCGCATTCTTGTTTTTTTAGAAGTCTTCTTGCTGCTTGCTGAGACATCTTGATTTTCCATGTTATTTTCTGCTGAGCTTTCTTCTGTACATTTTTCGGCACATTCTGACACCATTTTTGTAGAACTCTCTGTATTTTGTCTGTTTCCATTAGAAGTTGAACTTGAATCACTCTTATAGTCAAAATTTTTTCTGAGTGGTTCTGCACTATAATCAGGATCCCAGACTTAATCGTCACTATCAAACTTATTCTCTACATCAGTAGGTAATGACGGAGCAGGGGACGAACATTCAGACATTGCAATATTGTCGAATCATCAAAACATCGGGACTTAGAAACATCGGGAATCGTCTCAAATAGATTTCTTTTTATAGCGGTAATTTGTTTACGATCCATATCCACTCTGTAACAAAAAATTACATGAGTTTTTACGCTCTCCTGGCAGAAATATTGTCAAATTAGTGCCTATTTGTTCCACATGCCAAATTCTTATTCTGAGACATTGATATTATTAAATTTGGTAATATAGTGAAGAACACATCATTAAATAGATAATATGTATACATTTTTACACATGTAAATAAATAATATATGCATTTACTTACCCGTTTTATACTTTTATTTATCACATCCAGTCGCCACCATACAAGAAGTAAGACACGTTAACCTCAACTCACTGCATAACACTGGCATGTCACAAACAAGCACCAAAGCACCGAATGCGCGTGTGAAATACTGGCTTCCTATTGGCCTTTACATATGGAACACTTAAGCACTGAAATATCCCATAAAATAATCATATGGCACAAAGTTACAAAGGTATTACAGGAAAGTCTTGGCTGTTAGAGTTATCAGGGCCAAATTATATAAATTATTATGTTGGCAATGTTTCATTACAACTTCTAACCCGAAAAAGTAAAAAATGTGGTATGGAACAAATAAGCACTAACCCGACGATGTGTAGTTCAAGATCAAGTTATATTTTGAGTTTATTATTGAAGGATGTGAAAAATCGAAACGAAGATGATCCTGACGATCCGTTGCCGCTAGCAGCTATTATGTCAACTTCAACAACTACTCCTGTTGTTAACTTTGATTGTAATAAGAGTGAGGAGCACGAGAACAGTTATGTTTTAACTCAGCTTTCACCAGTTCAACTTACTAATTTCGACAATAATTCAGGTTCCCATGACCTCGACGTTCAGGATGGCCTAGGCGTACGGATTGTTCAGCCTATTAACTTATTGCCAGAAAGCGAAGACCAACTTGCTGAAAATATACAACCGGAAGACACCCGAAAGGTAACTAAAAAAGGGACACCAAGAATTAGAAAAAAGCCAGTTTTAAGCAAACAAGAAAAACATGAACAGAAAAAAGATAAATATATTAAAAAACATGACTTGTATCCTCCTTGCCCAGCTTGTAGACTGAAATGCATTGAAAATATACCAGAAGTAAGAAGAAAACAAATCAATTCTGTGTATTGCGCAAAAAGTTGGCTAGATAGAAGAAACTTTATGTTGATTTCGACAACTAGGCATGGGGTTAAGAGGCGAAGAATCAGTGAAAGTTCGTCAAGAAAGTTTTCATTCAAGTATTATCTAACAAACCAAAATGAAGAAAATGTCCAGGTGTGTAAGACATTTTTTTTGACTATTTTAGGCTACTCTAAAAACAACGACACAGTTCTTCACAATGTCTTGTGTGTTAAAAAAGATTGCTCCTGATGGTCGAGGGAAATGTACTCCGCCAAAAAAAATTGACCGAGAAGTTGTAAACGCACATATAGAGTCATACAACCCATCCATTGCACACTATCGCAGAGAACACGCTCCACTGAGGCGCTACCTCCCTAGTGATATCACCATAAATAACATGCATCAAAACTTTGTGGCCACACATCCGAACTTGAAATGCTCCTATGATTTGTATAGGGCTATTTGCTGATAACATAAAGATCTTTTAAGCAATTAAAAATACCTCTGATATGGATGCTCTTCAGTCTGACTTAAATAATGTATCTCGTTGGTGTGACATTAATGCCTTATATTTAAATATAAAAAAGTGCTATAAAATTACGTTTTCCAGAAATACTAAACATCAGTTATATAGAACATACATACTTAAGGGAGTATCGATTACAGAAGTAAATCAAATTAGAGACCTTGGAATTACATTTGACCAAAGACTAATGTTTGATAGGCATATTAATAATATTACATCGCGGGCTTATAGAATGCTCGGCTTTGTTCAAAGGAACTCCCGAGAATTTTCAATATTTACTTTCAAAATTTTGTATTGTTCTCTAGTTCGGTCCATTTTGGAATATTGTAATATTATTTGGTATCCATATTATAATATGTATATTGATCAGTTGGAACGAGTTCAAAATAAATTCCTAAGAATTTGCAGGTATAAAATGGGTTTTAATAGAACTAACTGTGATTATAACTATATTCTTTGTCAACTTAATATGAAAACTTTAGAAAATAGAGAATCTGAGTGTGAATTGCGTTTTTTGCATAAAATTCTTAATGGTTATGTTGATTGTCCGGAATTGCTGGAATTAATTGTTTTTAATGTAAATTCTAGAAGAACACGCTCTCCTGACCTGTTTAGACTAAAGTTTCATCATACTAATTATGGTAAAAGTTAGTCAATCACAAGGATGTTGAGAACTGCCAATAATTTGCAAGATAGTGTTGAATTGTTTAATTTATCCGTGTCCTCGTTCAAGAACAGTTTAAAGAAATTGAGACATTAATGTTATTAATACTTTTTAAAATTGTAATATATGACTACAGTTTATATGTTAATTATATGTGTATATTGTAATTTTT